GATGTAGCACATCTACACAATGGAATATTACTATGCAGAAAAATAATAATTATTTCATTTGTAATACATAGGGCTAAACTTAAGCTCAAGAACTTTCAAAAACACCCTTATCCCTTGTACATTTTAATGGTTTAGCCATAAAACTTCTTACACTTACTTAATGTGTTTAGTCCTATGACAGATACAAGTCGCTATACATATGTCAGTTTGAAGTGGCTCAGTGTGTAGTATAGGTGATAAACCAGGTGCTAATATAAATAAGATGCAATGTACAGTGTGACAAAGTGCCAACAAAGCTGCTACCATTTATAGCACTGCCTCTGGCTGAGAGTTCTTTCTTTAAAAATGTGTGAAATCTCTGTAAGGTTGAGCTCTGATTGGGAAAATGCAAATGAGGAAAGTAAGAACCTCTGTCCTATGCAGCTTGCCCTCTTAAGTTGGCATTCTAATCTGGATCTGCAGGTTTTCCTTTACTTGGCTGTTTTGCATCATGGAATGCCAAGCTTTTGTCATTTAGACATTCAGGCTTGAAGGAAAAATGAAGCTAAATGACTGTGATTCTGTGGAGAAGGATACAGTGAATTAAAATCTGAGAGCAAGGGTAGTATAGCAGTACATTCTAAGAGTAAATAAACTTATATGAAAGGGCAAAATAATTACATGGGATTTCTTCGGAGAATGTAGGTGAGCAGGAAAATGCAGCAGAATTTCATCAAGTTAAATATACATAGTAATTACGTTGTTTGCTTGCTGGTACAGGGACAACAGAAAAGCACTATTTTTTAAAACTCCACGTGGGCGCTAAGTCTCATGTTTGTGTTTCATAGGCAATAGTTGTATCAAAAGAACAACAGTGAGTCCCAGAGATCTACTTATCTGTACCTATCCAACATTGGAATTATAAACTGTCACCAAGTATGTTAGAGTTTTTAGATGACTGCTAGAGCCTGAACTGAGGTATTCATCCTTGCCTAGAGAGGAATTTATTGACTACTCTATTGTCTCTGTCCATGGAAGTAGGGCTGGGAGATGGCTCAGTAAGTAAAGTGTAATTTGCTACTAATGACATTGCTAGAACTTGGGTTTGACTTCGAATATATATGTTGTTAAAACAACAAGCATTGTGGTTTGCATTTGTAACTGTAGGAATGCAAAGGGGGACTTCAATGGATCTTAGGAGCTCATTGACCATCCTGCCTAGCCTACATGGCATGCTACCAGTCAGTGAGAGAGTGTGTCCCAAGGTAAAACAAAACTTTAGAAAAGGAGTAAATGGTTCCAGGGAAACAACACCTGAGTTTGACCAGGACTTCCTCATCAATTCCTGTAAGCATATGAACAGTCCTACCTCATGAATATGTACACATTTACAAGAGCAAAGCATCCTAACATTGGAAAAATACATAACTTATATCTTCATTTTTTTTCTTGGATCTTATTAAATAGTAAAAGTTGCTACTGTATATGAACTTCAAAGTGCCTTGTGTTGTGAATGGTTAATTAAACTGGAACTTGTAAATTTCTAAGTCATGAGACTCTTCTATTATATATATGTATATGCATGTATATGTGCATTATATGTGTATATACACATTACACAATAAACACACTCACAATATATGAATCTAAATGTGTCCTCAATATTTTATCACCTGCCCTCATATTATAAAGAGAAAGCTTTCAAGGACACCACCCATAGGGGTGCTACTCCAGACTCCCACTTCAGCTTCAATCAGAAAAATCACAAGAGATAGTTGTACTTATGTCTCATTATCTGTGTGCTGCAGGTTGAGAATAATTGCCGAATAAATTAGCATCAGATCAGAGAGCATGAAATTAAGGACACAAATAAAGTGAGTCACAACATGTAATTGAAAACAAGTTGAAGACTTCCTAAGTTGAACTTCAAGGGCTGCATTTAAGAAAGGTAAATACAGTTTCAATTCACACAGATCACGACATTGCAACCAAAGACTTATTTTCAGCTTTTACATTTGCTTTCCTTATACCTAGCCTTCTTTTGGGTAGCAACATCAAGCAGAATATTTCATTAAGAGAATAAAGATTGAAAATTACTTTCTCTGCTGCAGTGCTACTTTTATAATAGAATTCATATAATCTGCATATGATCATGTGTTTACTTTGGCATTAGATCCTAATAATAAAGGTTTCAAGTGCATTAAAATATATGAGGATTTTGCCTGTGTTATTATAGGAAGTTGTCTCAGTTCAGTTCCTCAGTACATAGTTGCATAAGTATAATAAATCAAGGATATAAAAATACGTATGAATATATCTCTAAAATTTGGGGCATTGCCTACTACTCTGAACCACATTTAGTTTAATACATGGAAATGTATACCTCTTCACTTATGTAATTTTTGTTCACACACATTTACTCACCAACATGCATAAAAGAACAAATCTTAATCTCTATGGCTGTCTTTTAAGGTAGATCCATTTCTCTGTGACAGTAAGGTGTAAGGTAGTTAAATAAAGTAGCTGTGTATTGGTACAGATTTTGTCAAAATCAGTTTACTTAAATACTCCTTTCATTAACTGCACATCCCAACCAAGGACAACTCATTGTTTTGCTAAGGAAATGAAAACTTTACATAAATATGAGAAAGTTAACTAGAAGATCTCAAGAAGAGTTTTGGCCAAATATGAGAACCTTATATATTATTGCATACACCTTCATAGCACTGGAAAAACTAGGAGATGACTCTGAGAAAAAACAAGGAGCTACTGTGTCAACTATTTCAGTAGGAGTTTGAAGGGAGCGCAAAAACCAATAAATGTGAGGTATGTATTTCAGAAACACTACAACCAAAGCAAAACATGTAGTGTGTATCCTCATGTCCCTATAGAATTATGAAAAAAATTCATATTTGCTGGTTGACTAACATTTATCTCTGTGATAAGAAAACTTGGGTCTACAAGAAGGTACACATGAACTCTGCTGTAATGCAGCCTGTGCACTGATAGGGCAAAGCCAGCTGATCCAGGCCATGAAAGTCACACAAAAGGCTGAAGGTTAGGACTTTTTGAAGCTTTCCGTAAGTACAGAGTAAGATATATAGCTTCACAATCTCCAAATATGCATTTGATATTTATGAAATTATTAAGTAGAAATTACTATTCGCAGTGAGAATTTTTAGAAATTTATCTAGCCTTTCATTGCCCATGTGTCTATTTCTATTGAAGAATTAAAATAATTTTTAAACTTTAAATTTATAATCTTCATTATTGAGATGGATGAAGGTACCTCAGAACAAAACTGTGAAGATACTATGAATTAACACAGATAAAATTCATAACAGGTATTGGCCAAGTGTATTCTCAATGATTATATAGCCACTTTTCTTATCTCTATGCTCACTTGATTACTAATGTAATTATTTTATATTTCTTTATATACTTTATTATTTCTCCACAAACATATGCATACATGTGAATATCATGTCAAATAGTGGTCTTTGATCATGTTATTTTGAGTACTATGTGCAAACTAAGTGACATAACAAAACAGTATGTAAGAAAATCATTCCTGGACCAGTGGAGGACCAGTTAATTATTTATTGAGCAACTGAACATATAAAGATATTGACATTCTTCATCAATAGGTGGCATATAGAAAAACATTCACTAGATGATAAGAAATACTTAAATGCAGGCAAAACTCTGGTACATCTGAATAAAAGCTAGACTTCCTTTAAATAAAAACAAATTAATCATTATGGATTTTTTTTTGAGTCTGTTGATGAGAACAGTTAATTCCCAGTACCAAAATGTCAACAAATTGAAAAGAAAATATACAAAGTCCCTCATAGAAGGGGAAAGGGACAAGTCTCCCAGAGCACAAGGGAAGTGGGGGGGGCAGTGAATGGAGAGAAGTAGGAGAAAGAGAAGGGGAAGAGAGGAAAACAGGTGCAACTAGGAAGATTGAGTCAGGGTAGGAATAGAAGATAGGAGAGAGAGAGAGAGAGAGAGAGAAAGAGAGACAGACAGACAGACAGAGAACATAAAAGAGGGAGCTGTTATTGGTTTGAAGAGAAAACTGAACCTAAAGAAAGGTTTAGAGACCTAAAAGACTGCCACCAACTAACAATTTGAGCAACCATGGAAAGGCTACCACAACTAACTTATCCACCATCATGGAGCCCTCATCTAGTACCTGTTGGAAGCAGAAGCAAACAAACATAGCTAAACACTGAGTCAAACTAGAATCCAGATGCAGATGGAGAGGACAAGACCAAGTTGCAGAAATACATAGAGACAGCTGACCTGAACAAAGAGGAGCTAACGGGCCTCCAAACTGATAGCTGGGAAGCCAGCATGGGACTGACTCAGGCCCGCCTGAATATAGGTCTCGGCCAGAAGGACTGAGCAGTCTAAGGGACCTCAGACAGTAGAACCAGGATGTATCCCCGGTGCACAAAAAGACCTTGTGGAACATCCCCCATGGAGGGATATTTGCTTTACTAAAGACAGGAGAGAAGTCCTAGTCCCTACTTCAAATGACTTGACAGATCTACATGACCCCACCTGGATGGCATTGCCCTACATGTGGAAATTGGGGGGGGGACGGGAGGGGAGGGTGATCAGGGTGCATGTGAGGGGACAGAGAGGGTAAGAGGGAGGGAGGGAAGGGGTTGAAAATTGACTTGGCTGATAGACTGACAAGAAAAAATATAAAACTTAAATAAACAACCAAAAATAAAAAGCTTAATCCAGTTTTGTGTTTTTTACTACTTACAGGTTTGTTGTGTTTTCTGGCAGTGAATTTATGGTATATGAATACACAACTTATAATGTGAAAATTTGTTCTTACCACAGATCATCTTTAGGATAAACCTACTAAAGTGTCAAGAATTTTTACCATTAGAAGAATTAATATTTCAGTTTGTTCAGTTCTTTCAATATAGAGACAATGACAATTTAAACAGGTAGCCATGAGGTGTATCACACACACACACACACTATGCCACTGTACTTACTTTTAGTCACAACGCCTTCTAGATGGATGATGTTTGGATGATCAAACTGCCCCATGATACTTGCTTCACCCAGGAAATCTCGGCGCTGCTTTTCAGTATAGCCTACTTTAAGAGTTTTAATAGCCACAGGCAATTCTCTTTTTCCTGGTAGTTTCAAACGTCCACTACAAACTTCACCAAATTCGCCTTGTGATAAAGATAAAAAATATTGTATAAATCTTTAAAATTCTTACTCTAATAAAATTCTAAATTTGTGAAGCGTTAAGGTTCAAATGGATGAAGATAAACTAAAGGTGAGACCAAACATCCACAGAAGTATTAACAAAAGTAAATATTACATTGGGAAATATATACTATAGATGATCAAAACTTTAGAGCTTACTGTATTCATCCATTTAATCTAAACAATCCAAATGGTAACATTAGAAAGTAATTAAAAACAAACAGAAAACATGGACTCAAATTCATCTTGTTTTTATTTCTCTGTGTCTACTAGTACCTAATATTGATGAAAAAAAAAGATAAAAGGGAACTAGGCACAGATTAACTCAATTATGTAAACACATAATCAAGTTGAAGAAATCAAATACTTTCCAATAGTATAGATTCAGTGTAAATACATATACACAAAACTACATGGGTAAAAATTCTTTCTTTGCTAAGAAGGTCAACATTTGCTCATTAATGATCTGCACAGAAGCTTGCCTTAAAAGACGATCATTTACAAACAAATTTTAGAGAAATTCAATTATGAGAGGTTAAGAACATGCTGTGTGAGAGCAGGGCATTGTTGTATTGCATTCATAGTATAAATGAAGGTGAACAGTCATAATATAGCTGTCCTCACACCTGCTCCAATGACTCTCTCAATGGTGATGCACGAAGCTTCAATCTCCTTGGCAAATTCATGGACAGCTTGATTGGGATCTTCATAGGTGTGTGGATCAATGTAGGTTCTTACTCCTGGCAATTTAACTGTAACAATACATTGACATTTATGGATTATAGTGGGTGTGATTAACCATCAACAATGTTAACACTCTAGTGTGGCTGAACTAACCTCTAAAAGAAGTTGTGAAGCAAGAAAAGGCTTTATGCTGATTTATAACAGTTCAGTTATTTTAGTGTCATAACGTAAATATAAGAAATATGTACATGCTAGCATATCTGAGCAATCATCTTTCTGTGATCATACTGAGAACAATGCATACTGAAATGCATACTTAGAACAATGATGATCAAAGGGAGCAAGAAAACAATATGGTTTTTTGATAGCATAATTTTTGTATATTGTAATAGTTTATTAATTATGATTCCAAAGAAAATTTAAAACAACTCCTAGTGGTGCTGAAATAGAAATCAAAAGGAAAGCAGAACTCCTTTAAACTTGGTGCCTATTCCAAGAGATTTGTAGATCTTTTGAGTTCAAGTTACTGATAATCACAGCAGGATTGCATTTTATAGATGGAAAACAGACACACAGGACAGGGAAGTAGCCTCCATGCTTTTCAGCATGTTATGTAGGTTCTTCGTAGAGTGACAAAAATGAAAGAGAGCTGCTCTCACTCATTTTTCGAATCAACTCATGTTGTGTATCACTTATTGAAAAGTGAATGCTCCAAAATAACAATTAAAGCTCACTACATTATTTTTTAAGCTTATTATTGTAATTGTATTTCACACATTTCTTTAAAAGTGTGGTCGTTTTCAGGTCATCTGAAAGAAGACTGCTGATAGAAAGGCTTTTTAACCCAGGAAATTACCATTGCAATCTTAAAAAAGGAAGCTGCTGAGTAACATTCATTCATTAGGCTGGCTGACATGATTTAATGATAGATTTTTACTCACTCTTCATGGAACTTGGAATTTACCTAGGATTTTGATTTAAACTACAACAACATTTTTATGGTAGGCAAGGGTTTTTATTTTAATGATTAAAATGGACAGATTTTTTTAAAAAACTGAATAAACCATTCAGAGGTTGCCTAAGCCCAGGATTTATAAATGGTAGAAGCACTTGTTTATTTTATACATAATAGATTTGGCCAAAGATTACAAATCGCCTAACATGATCAGTAATTGGAATAATAATAAAGTCTCTTGTTTTTATTTTGCACAATTTGCTTACTGTGCCCATTATGAAAGTGCATCTTTTCCTCTTCTGGATCCTGCTTTGCTTTGCTGTAGCCACACCTCCTAGAACAAAGTGAGCCACAGTTAGTCATATTTAAAAGTGGTAAATCAACCAGATCACCCATAGAGCAGTGAATGCATTCAAAACTTCTCAAACCAAGATCCAGTTCCTATACTAGCAATAAGAAATGACTGCAACACTCTTTGGGAATGGAACTCACTTTTCAAGCTGCTAGTTTTGATGCTCAACAAGTCATGTTCTCTAGATTCTTCTAAGTCTTAAGCCATCTAAGCATACATTTAAGGTCATATCCGCATATACCACACACCAGTCATTTTCTTTTCTCTCCTTCATTTCCAGCCAATTTGTCACTGCCCTTTCCAGTTGTAATTGCCCAAAATTTTCCTGTTTTCATGGTCCAATGAAACTTTGTGGTTTTTCTTCCTTCCTTCCTTCTTCCCTTCCTTCCTTCCTTCATTCCTTCCCTTTCTCCATTCCTTCCTTCATTCCTTTCCTTCACTTATCACTTTTCTTCCTTCCTCCCTTCATTTCTTTCTTTCTTTCTTCCTTTCTTCTTTCTTTTTCTTTCGCCATTCCCATTTCTTTAATGCTTACTTTAGCTTCTTTAGCAGCTCTCTTCAATCATATATACTCAGACTATTATGTTATTCAACAGATATCAGTCTTGTCTCTTATCTCTGTCCATCAAATCTTCATCTCTTGTTTTCTTTACTAGCTAACAATTTGCAAGTTTTGAAAATAATATCTCATTCTGACATAATCTTTGGTTCATAAATGAAAACTTTTTATTAGGTGACTACATATTATTTTGAATTATATTGATTGACTAAAATACTTAACTATTTTTTAATGCCTCCTTCTCTCTCTGTTTATGAATAGATATTTTCAAAGATCACAAGAAAAAAATGTCTGTTATTCTTCATACTATCCAACCATGTACATTTTTTTCTTTAATAGCTGTGAATTAATTTCTTGGAAAGTTGTATTCTCACTTCATAAATATTGATTTTATTGACCTGTTCTAGGGCCATTCCAACTGAATGGTCCTAAAAATTATACCAATGTTTATTTGTTTAAACCATATTTGCTTATTTTTTAAAGCATTTTCATTCCATTTTCTGACTAACTCCAACACAATAGTCTTCCTTAATATATGAGAAATCTTCTTATGTTCTTTTCTATGACTCATTGTTCAAATCCCACGTGCTATACAATATGCATCCCATGACCAGTCTTCCTTAGCACTTTACCATGAATGCCCTTACATTTATTATCTAGAAGTCTCTGCATTCAGAACAATGTCTATCTATGTTATAACTTATTTCCTCAAGCAATCTAAATATTCTTTCTTATTTATATTTTGGTTTTATTGGCAGGGTCTTTCTATGGATACCATGCTGACATGGTTCTCACTATGTAGTCTACACTGGCATCTAACTCACAGAGATCCTCCTACCTATGTCTCCAGTGTGCCAGAATTAAAGATGAGTGATACGCCTTGCTTACCCTAAAATGTGTACTAGATATTCTTAGTGCCAACATTTATTACTTAAGGTCTTATTCTATTGAATTGATCTTCTTACTTAAAGCTTTTAATAAAATTAATAAAGTATTAAACATAGCTTATATCCTTTGGTAAAATTTATTTTTTCCTACTACAGATTATCTAAAGTCTTTGAGAGCTCTGCATGTTTTCATATATTTGGACTCATTCTTTTTAAGAATATTCTCAGTGTCCAAACATTGAATTCTTTTTCAAATTGCTTTATATATTTCCCCTGAAAGCTCAACTCCAGGAAGCTCTATTCTCTCAGGACAAGATTTTTACACAGTAGTGCAACAGATCCATTTTACTATGATTTTCTTTCAGCATTTGTCAGCTACTTAAATGACAGAAACTAGTATTCACTTACAAATTTCATCAGAGGCCTAGTATCTGATTCAGAGTTGGCATTCAACATATTTTTACATAGATGAATGAATAAATGAATGACTACATGATGATTTGATTGTGCTTACACAATGACAGGTATTTGGAAGATGACTATGTTGATGAATACTGAATTGATGTAGTACATGATTAACCATATAACATTAAACAGTCAGAAAAAAATGAAAATTATTTTGAGTGAAACTCAAAGGAAGTGATTTTACTATTCATAAGATCCCACAGGAAAATTGAATTCATTAAATATAAAAGTTTCATTTATTATCGCATCAAGAAAGTGCAACGAGAACAACTATATATTTCACTACAAATTTGGTTAATGTTTTCTGTGTGCTATAGGTACAGTGTCAAATAGATCTTTACCAAGATACCTCTTTGGTTTTGTATATGATGATATTTAAACAATTCATGTACTTCAGTACAAAACCAACACAGAGTTTATTATGTTGTTTCCTAGAGGTTATTCAACAGGTATAACAAAATAAAAAAAAAAAAACCAAAATATAACAATGCTACTTTTTAAAACAATACAAATATCAATGTGAATTAAGGAAGTAGAAATTAAATATTAAAACACACCTAATACATTTTTTGGAGAACTAAAATAATATTATTAAAATACATTGTTTTTAGAAAAGGAGAATACACCCTAGAGATTTGGTGTATTTTGAATCTTACTACTAACACTTGATGCATTTCTTATTCAAGAACCCTTAAGACATCCATCTACCTCATACAGTGAGATGGATTGAAGAGTGTACAAATAAATATTAAAAATTGTACTGAAATAGAATTTTGTCCATACTGAATAATGTGTGTTATTTTACTACATTGTTCCTAGTTAGCTAGGTATTGCATATTTGTCTTTATTTCTAATGTTAGTGACTCAGGAGAGCAGTTACTGCTATTTCTTACAAACAGTGTTCTAAACACAGTCATATACATTTGGTCTGAGATTTGTGTTATCTTAGTAATCCTAGCAAAGACTTGTTGTAGAAATTTTAAGGAAACCTAAAATGCTTTTGCATTCTTGCAATTTACATCACCAAACAAGCATCCATTTTCACTCACAAATCTTCCAATGGAAAAGTAAATACATTGGTAACAATCTTCCAAAACTGAATCTTCAATAACCTTTACCATTAAATATGTCTTGTAGATATTTAAGTATTATGCAAAACCTCCACATGAAATGGAAATAAAATTTTAGATTTCAACTGAAAAATTATCTAAGAATACATTGGTGAGGAACAGTTAATATTTTATTACCTGGAGGTGAGAGTCAGGGGGGATAATATAAGGGATTATTTTACACTGTGGGTGTCTGGAACTCTTTAATATATATGCTGCATGTCACATTAACATATATAATTAAGTTCTGGACCCTTAAAACATCATTAAACAAGCCTCAACAAAGACACAGCTAGAGCAAGTGCAGCTAGCAGAGGCAGGCACTCCAGTAGTGGTTCTGCCTCATTAACAAATTTTGCATAAGATAATGTTCAGTCAGTATCTCGTCTATGTTATCAAAGTGTATAATTCTAACCCATCAAACAGTCAGTGTATATGTCACTCTGCATATAAGCTTTTCCTCCTCCACTACAAATATTATTTTTTTTCTTAAACAGAGAAAACATTCTTATTTTTCTTCATATAATTATTTTATTAAGCTTTGAAATGATTGCCATAGAACTATATGTAGGGTTTGTTTACACAGGAGCCACTTGGCTGTGCACTGTCTAGTTTTCAAGAAAAAAAATTAATTATATTTATGTAACTGAGATAACCTAAGAAAATAAGTAGTTATATTCATTAATAATTCACTAAAATTTCTAAAGAGGTGCTTGACAGAAAAATATATCCATGACCCTAAACGAACTTAGAAATAAGTCCATGGTTTTCCTTACTAATACTAAGAATCAAAATAATATATCTGTCATAATTGTAATATTGATTTTGTTCATTTGATTTTATCTATCAGATCTCCAGTTGGAATTTGGAAAATCCATAATCTAGGAACAAATAAACACTCATCTATAAAGGGATGAAGATGTCAATGAATAATTTATTTCTGAGAATAAACTGAAAAATTGATAATAAGTTTAGGATAGAAGTGAAAGGAACTCCAGACTACCAAGCAATACATAGCATCAGTGAATTATTAATGGCTCTCTTGTGCCTAATGAGGAAATGCTTGGTTAACAGAATAGCCAAGAAGAAAGTATAAATCCTGTTTCCAACAACAGTCTTCACATGATAGAATATCCTATTATTTTAATCTATAGTAATATATTATGAAATATTTTGAAATTAAAGTTGCATGGATTATATTGTAAGGAGGGATAGTTTTGAATTCTGCCTTCATTAAAAGAATGATGATGTGTATATTTCTTTATCATTTATCTTGAAGTTTGATTATAATGTATTTTGCTGAACTTTATGTCAAAACTTTTATGACTCCAAGAATATACAAAGCATTGGCATTTATGTATTCCTCATAGAAACTGCAAAACACAATCTTCTAAGCAATGTGTCATTATGTATCCCCCTTCTGGCCTAAAATTTGGTATGATAAACTGTCCTGAACTCACAAAGAAACACCAACCTCTTCCTTCAGGGACTAAAATTAAAGGCCACCACACCCAGTTAAAGTATTCTTTCTTAAAACACATCTCTACACCATTACACTCACTTTCTATTCTGATATAGTAATGATCTTAACCCTTGCACAATGTTCAATTTAGGGAATTTTATGGCTGGAATTTTAAAAATATTAAGGCACAGCTTTTGAGGAAAAAAATTTGAATTTTAGTTTTCAAGAGTTTATCCAATTAAGTCAAGTGTTTAGGCTCAAGTGTTATGACTCAGCACGTGGGAGTATGAAGTAGGAGGAAATCAATGAATCAGAATCACCTGAGGCACAAAACTCATTCAAGGTCAGTCAGCACTGGAGAGTCACAAAATTCTTGTGGGTAGAGTTGGGAACATATGAATGAAGAGTATTATCCACTTGAACACAGATGTTTTACTTAAAAGTTCAGTTTGCTTTATAAAAGGAAACAAAACATAGTTTTAGGTTTTTGGTGTATCAACTAAACACTGGATGGGTAAATATTGTTTCATGAAATAACATTTTTCAATAAGTATATGGTAAGTGTACGAGCAAGTGAATGGGTTATTGGACATTTAGGTTTTCTTAGTAGGAGAAAGTTATGATCTCCATTCATACATATTTCTCATAAACTCAAGGAGGCCGAGATGTCAAGATCTTTGTGGATAGGGACATGTAAAGTACAAATAAAATTCATTGACACAATTCATTTGTATTTCTCAGGTGAATAGCTTCTATATGAAAAAATAATCTCTCAAGTTGTGGAAATGACATGATGAATATTTTATCAAAAAAGCCTTTGCAAAACATTGTAGTACCTGAGAATTTGTGTTTTATTAACTTAGCCACGGTATCATTTGTGATCATCAATAATAGAAAACTAAAGACTTTCATATTTTAAATAATATAAAGATGAATTATAATCTATTTTCATTGTTGAATTAAAATTTAATTCACTTAGAATTTTAATATAACAATACATTTCATAAGGTATGATACAAGAGGACTGGTTTCTCATTTCCTGTAAGGTTTGTACAAATATTCCAAGAAACAGGTAGTTAATATATGAGCAAGAAAGTGGTTACACTGAAAATCTGAGATGAGGATGAATCAAAGAATTCATGATCTATTCAGCTTTAAATGTGTGAGACCCATTTCTACACACAAATTTCACTAATCAGAAAAAGTCAATTATTCTTAAATATTTTTAGACTACTACATTAATCATAAATGTTGTAATTTAAAATGCCACCACTGGTCCAGTGACTAAAGTATTTGTTGCTCCTCCAGACAAATAGAGTTTATTTCCCAGAACTCATTGGGTCACACAAAATCATCCATAACTCTAGCTCAGGATCCAGTGCTCTCCTCTGGCTTCCAAGGCTTCTGCACACATATTCACAAAGCCACCTTCAGACGCACATTAAAGATACAACAAAAATAAAAACTAGATTTCAAAAAGGCCATCATGTAATCCTCTCTAATATATTTTAAACTGACTTTTATTGACAGTTTTGACTACAAATGAAACTAATACACAAATGTGAGGGTTGGAACTCTAGCTTACAAAAGAAATGTCTAGATTATCTTACAGTCTAGCTCACTATGATGCAGGAGACCATCTAAATGTAACAGTGGAGTTTTCCTGTCTACCCTATCTTAAAATATTAAAATTATAAGCCAACTACACACTTTAATTAATTTTCTTTTGTTTGCAAATAATTGCAATGCTCAATTGAGCATTGAATATATATCTACATACATACATACATACATACATATATATATATATATATATAACTTCAGTGGTATCAAAATAGGAATATCACTTCAAATGTAAGAAATAATTCCATTTCATTATAATTATATTGATTTCCTCATTAATGTCATATGTATCCATGATAATTATGATGATAGAAGACTGTGGTCACATTATGGACATTCCATGGTTCTGGGAGACAGAAAGGTGATTTTACCTGAACACAAGTAGTTTTATACTTCCTTGTATGATATGGAATTCATTGAATGGAACAACAAAACAGTGACATGTTCAGTGGGACAGATCTTGACTGATACACTCTGCTCTGCTCATTGTATTTTATTTAAAATGACCCATTGTCAAAATAATCAGAAGTTTCTGTTTCAGGAATGAAGTCTATCTACTGTTCTGAACTTTAACTATAATTTACTCTTCTCAACTCAAAGGTGTAGCTGGTTTACTAATTGGTAAGATGAACACAGGTGGAGAAAATAAAGAGATGCTGGTGGTAGGACAGAGAGGTGGACATCACACAGGAGTGAAGTGGGAGGGAACACTAACCATATTAGGCTTGGATGGGCAACAGCGCACAGGGAAGAAGCCCTTCCACAGCCACATTCGCAGCAACTGAAAAGCAAGCAAGAGAGCCCAAGATAAGGAAGCGATCCCACTCCCTCAGAACAACATAAGACACTGTGGGTTTCCCTCAGTTGTCTGCTTTACTTTCCAGAACATTAATTCCTCCACATGTACAATCATAGTGTAATTTAACTTAAGACATCTCTCAAATTAAGAAATGAAGAGTTATTCTAAGTAGCTATTTTTCCTTTCCTTAAAATTATTATTCAGTAGGAAACATAATGAACCAATGTATTTAATTGATTATCCTCAATTAAATATAATATGCGAATAAAGATATGCAGAATTAAATATTTCATTTTAATTAATTCCCTCAAGTTATATCTTGAAGATACAGGTAGCTATTTAATGCCAGGTTTTGTAAGTAGCCTCAAATTTAGAGTGAGAACAAGTCTTACTCTTACTCAAGTCTTACTCTTTCAACCCACTGATACTTAAGCCAGTAAAATTGGTTATCATAGACTATTGAAAATGTCATGCTAGGTGACTCTAAAATAACTTTTGGATGAACATCAATTTTAATTTCCATTTTTTGATGTTGAAAATTCACTCATAAATGTATAATTTCAGGTTATAGTTATATAAAAATAAAATATTGATAATGCATACATTTCTGGGGATATTGCAACACTCAAAATCACTTTTAATTTTCAAAATACTGATAGCAAGTATCCAAATACGTGAAGTATATTATTTAATGAAATTCATTTTATTGCCAGAAACCATGTAAACTTATAGCAGAATTCAGCAAAGAAGTGATTTAGTGCTTGGATGCACTCACTTCCATTTATTTTTATGAACAGCATTTATAGTAATTTCTGAAGAACTATAATGGAACTTGGCAACAATATCATACAGCAGTGGGTCCAGGCTTATGATTGAAATCATGCTATTTTGAATCTTACTTGAAATTTATCGACTGCATTTTATATGAAATTTAGAAAGGAAAATAAAGACAATCTTTACTATATTTCCAAATGCCTATGAAGACAGATAAGCATGTCTAAAATCAATACCAATGGACTTTTCTTATAAGAATATACATATCCATATGTTTAACTTCCTTCTCCCTCTCCCTCCTTTTCCTTTCAAAGCATCATGATACATTAATTCCAAGTATTGATAAACATCTAAGTGTTTGGTTATCACTTTATAAGTTGATACTAAAACATTTATTTAAATACAAATATCCATAATTATATATTTTTATGATTAATTCAAATCATATTTACATAAAAATCATAGTTATACAGAAAAATTAAAGTATTTTGCTCTGTGGAAGATTTTAATGTATTTGTATTGACAGCACTCTTCTGAGATAGCTTTATCTCATCTCAATGATTAGGAAACTAAGGTGCTGGTTGTCTAAGTTATTCTAAAGAAAATAGTAGTTCATGGCACACACAAATTTCAGATTCTTCAGTGGATCCACTGTTGCTGGTCCTTGTTAGCCTGCCACATAGTCTTCCAGATAGGGCAATTGTTAAAATCTCATGCATGTAACTACAGTGATAAAAATACTTATGATTTATTGAAGTTGGACTGAGGATTCAGAAAAGCAAAGTCAGTCACAAGCCTTAGAAGCCAGGCACACACTTTTAATGCCAGCAGCCAGAAGCTAGGAGGTGGTGGTATACACCTTAAATCCTAGGATTCAGGATTAAAAGATAGACAGATCTCTGTGAGTCCACGGCCACCCAGATCTACACAAGAGTGAATTAGTCTAAAAGAGAATTATAGCTCATACATTTAATCCCAGTATTAGGGATGTATATAAAACAGATGAAAGGTCTCAGAGATGCATTCATTTTCCAGCTGATTTGAGTAGAAGTTACAGTTTGAGGCTTGTAGGAGTTCATGGAGACAGAACCAGCACATTTAGTCTTAGATAGAGGTGAGAAGCTAGTGACCAGCTGCTTTGATTTTCTGATATTCAGCATGAAGTTTGAACTCGAATATCAGTCTCTGGGTTTTTTATTAATTGTGTTACATGTAACTTTCTCACTTTCCTAGTGTTCCTGCCTCGTGTCAGCACTTGGATTACAAGTACAAGAACATTGCTTCATGGCCCAGGCCAGCCTATCAGCCTTGTGTCAAGTACTATTTTATGGAAAGCTGTCACCTGGGCTTTAGTGTGCTTTTCTTTTCTTTTCTTTTTTTTTTTTTTTTTGATGCTGCTTATGCTAAGAGAATGTGGTAAAGAGATACTACAAAGTTAAATAGTATCTTTTGGCTCTGTATTGTTTTAGAGTAGTAGCTTGTTAAGATGGAGAAAATTTTTAGATTTTTGTTGCTTTTACATTCAAAATTTAAATGCAGTAACAATATTTTCTATAATTGCTGTTAAAAATACCATTACCATATTTACTTATGTCTGCTAACATAAGACTGCATTAATTGTATTATGCAGTACAACTCAATAAATAAAACCAAATACCAATCAACTGAGACAAATGATGACTTTAGTAGAAAATGATATGTTATTTCCCCCTCCTGTACAACTCTCTCTATGATAAACGTTTATAAGCAGACTTAGAATTATGCTTAAAATTACTACAATGAACAAATGTTACTAGACATTATTTATCAATAGTCTGAATTCTAATAATAAGAAAAACAGCCAAGATCCTACCAATAAAGGAAATGTTTTATTTGTTGTCCATGGGTATAAAAACTATAAGTATTATAATCTTATGAATTAGAATGAATGTCTCTCTTTTCTCCTCTCTATCTCTGTCTTTCTCCATTTCTCTTCCACTCCCATGCAATTTACTATAATTAAAATAAGATTATATGAACTGTAATCCTGAAAAATAAAATTCCATTCACCTCTCATAAAAATTTACTTCATTTTAGATATGTTTAATAAAAAATAAAGACAAAACATATACACAAGGTTTTAAGAATCATTGCTTCAGATTTTTTACCAACTGTCTTTGACTTATGAGAGCATATGTGAATATGACATTGATCATTGGGACTCTCTTAAGGCAAAGTAAAAATAATTATTTTAACAATAGCATAATCAATGTAAAAAGGTAGACCCTTTAATCAAAGTAATTATTTTAGTGATTTATATAAAGTAATTAATTATTTTAGTGATTTATATACCATTGCCATATTACATACCCCCCATTTTATAACATAATTGAATATTTAACTACATGCAAATAGATATGCAAATGTCAGTGTAATTTTTAAATTTTCCATAAAATACATTTGCTAAGGATTTAGTGATGAGAGCTTTCTTGTATTTACATATAATTAAAAAATGAAGTTTTGTTTGTATGCATATTTGAACCAGATAAATAACTAAAAACACTCCATGAACTATTGTTTTACAACAAATTCATAGGAGTTTGTCACGAGGTTGTATAAACCACCAGGTTGTATAAAACATATGTTTACCTTATTTAATAAATATTCCAGTAAAGACAGGTTTAAATTCAAGCCTTTAAGATAATTTAGAATTTGAAAATCAAATGTGCTAGAAATAGCAGCCAGTAATATTTCTGGGAGTACAATGGTTGAGCATAGTGATATTCGCATTTCTGCAGCTCTTAGCACCCAGAACTCTATAAGTAAGTACTAGAAGCTACAGCAAGATGATGACTATCTATAATTCAAATCATTTAGCTATTTCAGGCTTTCAATTAAAAATGGTTTTGTTTTAATAAAATATGTCTGTCCTTCTGAAAATTTGAATGTTATAACAGAATTCTTCATGCATATATGTATGGTGTGTGTGTATATACAAGTGAGAGAGACAGAGAGAGAAAGAAAGAAAGAGCAAGAGAATATTGAATACTTGTGCCAGTGTGAGCAAGATAATCTCGTTCCTGTAGAAGCAGGTAATTATACCTCAAGGGAAGAGATCAACAAAACACTAGATCACAAAAACAAGACTAGACACTATGAAGGCATGAGAACTTAAATTCTCAAATAAGACATCATAAGAAACACATAACAAAAACAATTACATGCCCTCAGATAGAAGACAAAGACAGCAAAAGAGTCAAATTCAGAAAACAACTATTTAGACACAAACTGCTTTTAATTTACTAGTAAAATGAAAAGGCTAAATCATTTACCATTTCAGAATGAATCCACAGAGAATATCAGTACTCCATACTTGAGCAAACAGAGAGAATGTCGTGTAGTTATTGGATATATGACAATTTGCTTATTCTCATTAGAGTTCACACCTTAAATTTTCATTGGCATGAGATATTAGCTAAGTCCAGGAGTGTCTGGTAGCTTTAGTACTGGGATCCTACACATTGGATTAAAAACAGAACTTCGCATTGAGAATGTCTGTGCCACTATTGCAATATACAGCATGCAGTTAATAATCCTTTTTAAATGGGCCTTTGAACTTGTTATGACATTAAGAGGTCACCACTATTCGCCACTGATGTGGATGTAAGTTTCCTTTGTGGTTCACTTTTTTTTTGTACCACATTCTTTCCCACATTCTGATTTCCTTGACCCACTCTGCAAATTTAAGAATTTTCATAAAAAACGTTTGTTATGGAGCTCTCTACCCATTCAACACTGTTTAAAAGAAATTACAAAGAACACCAAAACACATTTGCACAGTGTGGCCTGTAGTGTAATATAATGAATTTGATTTTGATGTAAGGCATTAAAAGAATATGACCTAGTTTGTTTCTGTTCTGTGATGATCAAGCAAATGTTAACGAGGAAAGACTTTATTTCTGACCATTGTTTACAGTCTATCATTAGGGGAAGTCATGAAGCAGAGACCGTGTAGGAACAGTATTTACTGACTTTCATCCGATGGCTTGTTCAGCTGGTTTTCTCACACAAATAAGTATCAGCACTCTAGGCATGGCACCAGTTATAGGAGCTGAATCACATTAATCATCAACCTATAAAATGCCCCATTAAGTCCACAAGCCATCTTGATAAAGACAATAGTTCAATCTACTTTCACTCATCCCAGGTTGTATAAAACTGGCAAAAAC